CACCATTATCTGTTCGCTGTGCCGGAATGCTAAAATATCTACTTAAATGCCTTTCTGTTTGGTTTAAGCTACCTATCTGAGCATTAAAGTCACCCCCTACGAGTACTATGTCTGAGCGTTTAGCTTTCTGTAAAATTCATCTTTCATTTCATCTGAGCTACAGTCAGTGGGAGCGTAGGCAGAAACGACGAAAAGGCAACGACGTGTGTCCCTATCCTTCCGAGTTCTTACGGAGCCGTTCAGCCGAACGGCACATAGACGACTGTTGACGGGGATCCACTCTAGCAGTGCTTGTTCCGCCCTCATGCTTAGTGCTATGCCTACACCTGCCAGTCCACGAGAACTGGCCATCAGGTCATCAGATACACGTAGGGTGTACCTCGTTGGCTCTCCGTTTTGCCGAGGTGAGGTCAAGTGAATGACCACACTGGAATCCTGTATGCGTGTTTCGGAGACACAGCACACGTCAATGGTAAGAGACTCTAGGGTTTTAGCCAAGGAAGCCTGCTGACCGATTTGACATAGGGTGCGTACGTTGAAGGTTCCAATGTGTAATTTGGAGCGAGGTTTCAGTAGACCTGGGACAGAGTTTTGAGCACTAGAATCGTTGGCTATGGTGACACTTGAGAAGGAAGCCGAAAGAGGAAGTTTAGAGTTGAAAGTCGATGTAGGAGGAATAATAGGAATTGAAGAGGAAGGTTGATTATGAATACAGTGGTCTTGAGTGCTGTTAGAGGTATGAGGGTGGTTATCACTTCCCAGTTGCCCACACCATGGAAGGGTTCTTCTGGAGGTACCTGAAAAGGAAATTGGATTAGAGGCGGTCTCAGTGACCTGAGAGCGTGACCGCAGTGCCAAAAGGACAACTGCTTGAGGCCGGTCGCGCACGGCCTTTTCGTGGGAGGTTTTTGACGTGTTAGCTCCGTTCCTCAAAGGGCCCTACAGCCGGAGACGGAAATCCATGAGGTAAAGTGAGGTGTGCATTTTTAGGGTCGACCTTTTCTAACCCCACCCCTCCTTGTGGGAAGGCAGCATCGCTGTCATGCTGGTTGTCTGAAGGAAACACTTTACTGCTGTCACACCTCTGTACAGTCAGCAGTACGACTTCGCCTTCGGACATTGGGCTTGTCGGTTTTAGTCTTACCGCTCTTCAACCGATTTGTCTGACATGGTAGGACCTTGAGGAACGGTTGTTCCAGCCAGTACAGCTCGGTTGCTTCATCACGATAGGCAAGCCCGACCACCATGTCAAGGTAGCAACAACGGTCAAGCCGCCCGGGTACCCAGACCGAAGCAGGTGGTTTTCTTAGGGGACCACACCCTGAGCCTTCGACCTAAAGGTCTGATCCACAAGGCGATGGAGCATCGTGAGGAGATGCAGTCGCATTGTAGTTGGTGACCAACAATTAGTTCATACGCCATTTGTTCCTTCAGGATCCTGGAGTCCATGTGTAATAATGGTTTGGAATCAGGGTTTTCCAACTCCACTAGGTGGATCCGCTGTATGCACCAGCCTGGTTAAATGGCCGGATATTCGCTTTTCGTCCTTTCAATTTCGCAAGCAACACCCCCGCTCCAAGTGGGCAGTGAGTAGGACTTTCTTGTCAGTGGCTGTAAATGCGTGGTCATGTGAGAGCATTTGGAGAGAGGTGATTCTCCCCACCCTCGACCCTGCCAGAATCGATTTATTTGGATCTGCACTAAAAAAATGACATAAGTCAATTGAACTCTCCTGTTTATATAGACTTGAACAATTCATCAACTATTCAACCAACAGATTAAAAATGTGTGACGAAAATTTTAAACTAATAAAACTCTAATGGTAGAGATCATGAGTCAATTGAGGCTAGATCACCATGGAAAACCTGGAAGTACTGGACAGCCGTTTCGTCCTATCGTGGGACTCTTCAGTAGTGCACATCCACGATCCGGCCTAGCGAGATTTGAAACCAGCACCTACCAGTCTTCCAGGTTTTCCATGGTGATCTAGCTTCAATTGATTCATGATCTCAACTATTATAAAATTACTATAATATCCATCTATAGAAAACCCTTTCTGATATTAAAAATTTTATAAAACATCATAGTAAACAACTAATCAATATAAAATACAAACAAACACACAAACACAACTATCAAATATTTTAAAAAAGATTAGTTAACTCATAGCACATAATCAACTCTATTTATCTAAATAGAAAGAACAATATATCACTCTCCCTCTGTCTCTCTCTATGATATAGATTAGTATATGGAATAGCTTATTATTATTATTATTATTATCACAAAAAGTACATTCAAATACCAGAAAAAAAATAAAAAAAATTTTTTTAGTTTCGACAGAAAAACTTTCATTCATTTAGTTTCTATGTAGATTTTTTTATTAATGTACTTTTGTTTAAATAGTATTATGTGTATATATTATTTTTTTTTAAAGAAATAATAACTTTAATGAAAATTCTCTACTATCCAGCACACGGGATTCAATCTCAAGGACTTTCGATCTCGCGCACGAACGTTTCAACGATGGTCAACTCATGAATTCAACTGTTAAAATACTACACTCTCTACAAATTCCCATACTGATAATACTTATGTGCTTATTAGTGACTAGCTTTAAGATGGATTTCCTAGAGTTTTAGTGAGAAGCCGTAACCAATGAAATCTAATCTGTGTCGGGTGTGAAAAAATTATCCACTTTAGACAATGGATGAAGTTAGACATTAACACTGTTGGATACTGGCTTAGTAGTTTAGAGGTTAAATGTCAGTGCACGAGATCAAAGGTCCTGCGTTCGAGTCCCACGTGTGGAATCATGGATGTGCACTGTTGAGGAGTTCTGTAATAGGACGGAGAGATCATCCAGTGCTTCAAGGTTTTTTTAATGGTGATCTGGCTTAGATCAACTCATTAATCAAACTGTTAGCTGTTAAATTTATATAAGAAAAAAAAGTGATTGTTAAAAGTATGTTTGATTGATGAGTTAATCAGATAATAACTATAACTTATGAATTTTTGAAGGTAATTCTTGAAGGTTCTTGATATTACGAAAGGACGATTACAAATTTTAGGTTTTTGGGTTCTTATGTAATACGTCATTTATTCATATCAAGTGCATGCTAATTGATTAAAAATGACTTCACACTGACATGGTCATTTTAAGAGTTGTTAGAGGTCTATCAGTGAAGTAGGTTTTTACCACGTAGTCCAAATCAGTCAGTCAGCTACAACGTAGGACCCCAGGCACATTTAGACATAGGTTCAATTTGCCATACCTCATTAGCACAGCAAGACGAACACCGGATTCATAGCAGTGGTTAGGTCAAAGGTGGTAATATATAAAAGAAAGATTGCAATAAGTATATAGTACAGGAAGAAAAAATTAGTTCGTAGAAAGAAAGATATGAAGTGATGTTAATCTCTTAGTTTAAGGGAAGACAGGGAGTGTATGCACCGACGCCATTGTGGTCGATTCAGAGACATGTCACCAAGAGTCTCCAACCATCGGTTACGAAAGTCACGCGGACCCCAACCAAGTAGTCTGCATCTACCAACATGGCTCAGACTAGAGGTTAGTGACTTCAAGCACTGATGCCACGTTTTGGTTTGGCCGCCCCTAATTCTCTTCTAACCATCTCTAACACCCGTTAGCACTGCACTTCGCGGTAATCGGTGTTCAGGCATACGTAACACGTGGCCCAACCATCTCAGTCGATGAAGATTAACAACCTCATCAACTGATTTACCATCATTCCCTAATACCCTGCGTCGAACCTCACTATTACTTACCCGGTGATCCCAACAGACGCCAGCAATATTTCTAAGGCATCTGTGGTCAAATACCAGTAGCTTACGGGTGTCTTCTACTCATAATGGCCATGTTTCGCTGCCGTAAAGTAAAACAGAACGGATTGCCGCGCAGTATACTCGTCCTTTTATTGATAGACGGATATCTCGCCTTCGCCACAGGTGACGTAAGTTGGCAAAAGCCAAACGAGCTTTTCGAATCCGTGCTGAGATTTCGTCCGATACCAACCCATTAGGGCTGATCAAACTTCCAAGATAAGTGAAGTTGTCAACTCATGAATTACTGATAATTATGCAATATCGGATGTTTGTTATAGCCTTGAGTTTAGGACTTCTTAATAGTGTGGATTCACGAATCAGTACAGGAGACTGGGCAGAATATCATCACGTCTAGTCGGCAGAAAATGATATACCAACACCATCGAGCCAGAATTTCTAACAGTTTATATATTTCTAACTTAAATTAATCCATACACTTTACAGCAAAGATGGACATGGATACATATTTCTACACAATAATCATATGTTTACTAGTGACCAACTGTGGGGGGATTAGTTCACCGAATTTTTGACGATAGCTATTGTCGGTGCAGTTCTTTGTTGGGTTAGGATAATTATCATCAATAATCATCAAATGAACATTGAGTACTAAAGTAAATTGGACTATGAGGGCTAGTGACAATACCCGACTGTTCAGATACAAGTAGGTACAGAGGGATTCAAATCTAGAACCCAATTAGGTGAAAGTGGTGTGAGCCTTAAGGACTGAACCTTAGTTGTATACATTCTCATTAATCTATCATGAGTTTGTGAGCGTGGAGTGTACTGCAGTTCACACGACAAGACGAAACCTAGAACTTTCACGTCTCGTCGCACGAGGACAACACTTTTACAGACTGATAAGTCAGAATAAAGTACTTTACCTTTTTTTAAACTTGATTCAATCTATGACACACTGCAAGTATCATTAAATGTGATATCAGTGACAACTGTCTCATTTCTGGATGAACAGCATTGCTGAACTGCAGAGGACCATTGTAATCAAGTGATGAGCAGTCCATTTATTTATTTATGGGATTAACTAACAAATCACAATTTACAAAATTGAAGAAATATGTTACACAATTAAATAAACTGGGTATCTTTTAGAAGAAAAGTACCTACACAATTCTCTTCTCCGGGCCAATACTTACTTCAACTCCATGATGAAAAGCATCATCAACACGTTTTACGATCGCTTCTAATTCTTTTGGTGAAGCTGTTGTAGAATTTAAAGCTTCTTCAGAAAATTCCCTTTTTAACGTAGATGTATAATTTTCACCAGCGTCTACCATACCCTTAACACAACAATAAAATACAATTCTTATTAAGACTATGAAGTAGTTAGAATGAGTATTAGATTTGCATATGCTTGTACTATTAAATAAGTGATTGAACAATGCTGACATTAGGGGTACAGTGACAAGGAAAGATAACGAAATGTTTAGTTCAAATGTGAACATTTATCGACTGAGATAGTTAGGATATTTCGTCTACGCTGACATGATTAATTCATTAATAAAGCATAAATTAATGTGCTTGGATTGAGCTACACTCTAAATGTTAGAGCTAATGATACTACTCAGCTGTCCAAACCAAAGTAGATAGTGTGTGGTTAGAACCTATGACTTCGTGATCATAGTTTGAAAGCCTTAACTACTGAATAGCGCAGCTTGATTCTGTGACACAGCCACATAGATGATAATAAGAACACCAGAATTCCTTAAATATAATTTCAAATCTTTTAATTCATTTCATTTCAATTTTCACCATCATCAGGTTTAACCTATTTATAAGCCTTCAAGCCTACATCTTAAAAGGGACTATTCTCTATGACACCCCTGTTTTTTTCAAAAATATTTCGAATAGATAGAGTCGCAGACATTAATCTTAGAAATACCTGATAGGTTACGTTATAAATCATTCTTATATTTGAATATGGTAATCATTATAACATTAATGAGAGTCTTCTATAATTCCTTAGAAAAGCCAGAGAAATTATTGACAACACTCCGAACAATCAAAGTCCTTTGAAAATGTCGTAGAGAAATTTAGAAAATAAGTAGTTGGAATTCCTTTTATATCCTGATTGGATGATTCCTAAATTAGTAAGCAAAATAATCTTTATAACTAAGTATTTGTCTTGTAAATTACATTTAATATATCAGACATTAACAACGTAGAACTTCGTACGTACGTACGTACGTACATACATCAGTTCGAGTTGCCATACCACATTAGCACAGAGATGCAGTTGTCCATTCAAATCCCATAGGGGTAGAGGTAGTAAGAGTATAAGCAGTAATCCGTAAGACTAGGGTTTGAAGATATTATCCAAGGAGTATAATCCGGTGAAATAAATTTGGAAAGAGAAAAAAAGGACATCAAAAATTGAGAATAGTGAAAATTCCCATTTTGCCATTTGGTAAATAAAGAAGGAACGAATTGAGCGAAGAAATTTCTTTTCAATTCAGAAGATTAGAATTTGGGAGAACACAAAGTGTAAATACACACCTGCGCAAACCATTGTAAACGATTTTGAGTCATGTCATTCAAGGTCTCTAACCATCGGTTGCTCGTAACAGTACACGAGATCAAGTTAGTCACAATCAAATCCTTCCTAAATTTAATATATCAAGTTCTTCTATAAATTCTTTAAAGAAATCAATAGGGATCGTATTACAATGTGATGATTCAGTAATGAAATAATTTTCTTTCTTGAACAAAACAGGAAAATATGCAGATTACAAGGTAAGTTTACTTATAGTATAGGAATTGAGGAACTGTATGGAGTTCACAAGAATTCATATGACCATAATCTTAACTCTATTATTTATGAAAAAGGGTAGTATTTAAGTAATAATGATACACTTCCCTACCACAAAGGCAGAATCAATAAACTAGTATTAAGCAATAAGGTAAGAAAGTGTAAACGTCAATGAATCATTCGAAGAGAAGTAGGGACCCATTATTCAATACATAGTTTATCTAATCAATACAAGACAAACCAACATCAGAATTGAGGAAATATATACCGGATCTAATTATGGAGATATAATGGACGATCAACCTTCTATATTGATAAAAACATAGAATACATAATGTCACTTGTGTTTTATTATTTAGATAAGTGATAAACTAAATATTAGGAAATTGTTTATGTACACGACTTGGGCATAGCGTAAAACAACTAGACGACTGAAGAACATGAGTTCTGAGAACTTCCGAGGATATTCTGAATAATCAAAAAGGAGACAGAACAACTGTATTACCATAGATGAAAAGTGACATTTAGGAGATGATGAGTAAGGTGTATTCTAAATTTCAAAAAATAAATGCCTGTTTTATATTATGATATAAATATATAAACTTAACAGAATATATAATTTGACTTACCCCAGGGATGGCCCATTGACCAGAATCTTTCCGACGAATAGAAACAAACTGAAGAATTGGACGTCCAGTAGTTTTATTTAAACATCGACTACCTGAGTTGTCAATCTTCCATCTGCATTAATTTTGTTTCCATGGAACAAAAAGAAAACATTTATCACCTCGACGAAAACTAGCAATATTGTAATCGTAATAATCGCCTCAAAAAATACATCATCAACTAAGTAACTGAGGATTTTCTTTTCATAAATAAGATGTTAGACCACCATTAAAAAACATGGAAGCACTGAACAGCCGTTTCATCCTATTGTGGGACTCCTCACAGTGCTCAATCAAAAACTTAATGATCTCCACAACCCTATACTAATAACTTTTTTGATCTAATGAATCAGTGTAGAATAAGCATATGATAGAGTTGACCAACCATGGACAACATACGACTTGGGAAAAATATAGTTGGTGTCGCTAAACAAGTAGCAGTAATAGTACATTATTTGCAGTGGGAAACTAAGAATTTGAAATATAGTTTAAAATGGAACTTGTATAGTTGAATAGAATGGAATAATATTCAGACCAAGATTTAAGAGAAGGATAAAGAATAAATGAGATTACTTCATTGTTCGAGACTTCAAATCATAAAATTGACTGAGAGGTAGTTCAGCAGTTACAGGATTCGACTTTCGGCTATTAAGTCGTAGGTTCAAGCTCCATTTCACTTAATTTGGTGTGAACAACTGGGTAGTATTACTTACCTTTACATTTAGAGTATGGGTTAAAATCTAGTAAAAAAAACCTGTATCTTGTACATGAGTTAATGAAAAACAAAAAATTATCATTATAATATACACTCCAACTAACTGTTACAACTGCATTTATTATCATTCTACAACATAAGAGGTTCACTTATATTGTAGTCAGCATTTTGAGTTCGATACCATAATTTGACTATTGAATTTACTTTTAGAGTACATACAACTCACTCACTATACTAGAAGATCTGATAGATTTTAATTGATTATTGTAATAAAGGTGAGCTTCAATTGAAGACAAAATTTGGGATACTAAGGGTCTAATGTATACATTGGATAATACCATCAAAATATACATTACGAGATCACCTAAAATTGACGAACGGAAGAAGGATCAGCGACATAACAACAAGACAAGTTAAAATATTCCTATGTGTCCCAGCCTCGCTAACTAGAGAGAGATGTCCAGGTTCAGAAGAGAGAAAGTATATTCCACAAGCGGTCAGAAGCGTGAACAAGCAAGCAAACAACTCAAACATGTATACAGAATAAAAAGGTCCTTGGGAAACGTCACAAATAGTGTATTAAAAGAGGCAACGAACTATTAACACATAGGGTCCTCCTAAATGGGAAATACAATCTGAAGGTAAAAAATGGATGCTTTTGGCGCGAAAACGAGAAATTCAAATTTCCAAAAATAAGACGTTTACTAAGTGATTTCCAGGAATCTAGCATCCTTAACAAAATGATTGCATTAATTTACTTTCATTTTCTATTGTATTCTTTTCAACTACCATTTGTACTTCAATTTATATTATTCATCATTGAATTGGTGAACTAAATTATCACATAATATTGAGTGATGAAAGCAAAAACTTAATATAAAGTTCAATAGTTAAAAATCAATACGATCTGTTGACATTCTTTTATATCATTCAAAGGAATTGTCTCAGTAAGAACAATGCATGATCATACGTTAATATCATATGGTTTTTGGACTTGATTTATGAAATTTACAATATCTTGTGATCTAGATAATGATAATCATTTATTTAGTTTACAATAGATAAGTAATCAGAACAGTAGCTAAAATACTTGTCTATCAACTACAGTACTATATCAACTAATGATAGGGAGTGAAGTAGTTGAGTGTGTCAACCGCTTCATTTATTGGCCTTTGTGGTCTGGTGTGTGACGAAATCTCAACATAGATAGAGAAGGCACGACTAGCTTTTGCCAACTCGTTTATGGCGTAGGAGAGATATTCGTCAATCAACCGGAGAATGGGTTTGCTGCTCAGTAATTCGTTCTGTCCTAATTTACGGCTGTGAAACATGGCCAGTAAGAGTAGAGGATATTCATAGGTTACCAGTATTCGATCGAATGTGTTTTCGAAGCATTGCTCGCATAACCTGGGACCAATTAGTAAGTAATGTAGTTGTTAGGAAACGAGTACTAGGTAAGGATGGCAGATCAACTGATGGCTAGGACACGTATTACGTATGCCCAACTACCGATTGCCCCGACGTGCGATGTTTTATGGTGTAGAGGTAGGTTGGAAGAAAGCTAGAGGCGACCAGACCAAAACATGGCATAAATCCATGAAGTCACTGACAAGTAGACCGAGCCATGTCGATATGTGCAGACTACCTGGTTGGGATTCGCGAGACGATAGCGACTGATCGTTAGAGACCCTGAATGACATGGCTCAAAATCGTTTACAATGGTTTGCGCAGGTGTATTCATTCTTTGTCTTCTCCCAAATTATAATCTTGTGAATTCTTCATGTCCCTTTCTTTTTTTTCTTTCCAAATTTATTTCACTGGATCATACTCCATGGATAATATCTTCAAACCCTAGTCTTTCGGATTACTGCTTATACTCTTACTACCTCTACCCCTATGGGATTTGAATGGACAACTGCATCTCTGTGCTAATGTGGTATGGCAACTCGAACTGATGTATGTACGTACGTACGTATGAAAGTTCTACGTTGTTACTAACTGACTGACTGTCTATCAACTGTTAGGTCGTATTTTCGAATCGCCTACTCCTAATATGATTAGCCAGTCGGGTAATATTGTTCACCTCTAACATACAATCAATAGTTTATAGTTATATTTTGAAAACAAGCAACAATAATTAGATTTATGTATACCGTGTTACAATTGGATCAGCAGCATGATTAGGACCCCAACGACCAAGAACACCACGTCCAGTGATTCCCGTACGTCCACAAGGATTTAATGGTAATCCATCAGTACTGAATTTATACTGACCCATAAAACTTGTTCTATCAAGTATTCCGTCAATTTTATTAAACTGAATAGCTTTATATTTTCCATCACTAACAATAAAAAAAGAATTTTAAGTATACAGATGATAGGTATCATTACCAAGGTTTGATTTGATAATTTCGAATAAATTGAGCATTGGGTAGATTGTTATAAATAAATAGTATATTTGTAATATCCCAATGAGTAGAAAATCTAATTTTTCTACTCATTGGGATATTACAAATATACTATTTATTTATACAGATGATAGTTATTTTGAAGTGGTTTTGCATTCTAACTCCGCCTGGAGCCCCTCTGGGGCTACCGCCGATCCCAAGGCCGGATAAGGGAGGAGGCTTGGGTATGAGGTTAGCGACCCCATCCCGTAGAGAACTAACTCGCTAGAAATACGCTAACCAAGAAAATTAATGATGCATACACTAGTACGAGCAGCCTAGAGTTCCGATAGGTCTTTTTTCCGTCTAGCCCTATCTGTTAAGTCCAGAACGTCAATCTCAACCTCCGCGATACGAATCCTATGTTTCAAACATACTGAGATTATATATAAAAAAACCAGGCCATATCACACCGTAAAGTAGAAAATAATATTTGTACAAGATCTAGCCAGATGTGACTGTGAGAAGCTGTTACTAATAAATTGGGAATATCTCAAGAATAGCAAATCTTATTATAATGGTCAATAGGTCAAATAAAAGCTTATAATGAAGGGAATATGAATTCACATATAATACATTCGCCTAATAATCACACAATAAGAATATACGTATAATATTAGTCCATAGGTAATTCCTAACGGTTACCATTCATTTATTCTCGTCCGGATATAACATATACCATTTAGTAATCACATTATAATTGAGTCAATGAGTTTAGTTGTTTAGTACTTAAAACTGTCCAACTTTAAACAGATTAAAACAGAGTAAAAGCTGCACTTTATTGGCTCAACTTAGGTTTCTTTTAATCTTATTTACAAATCTAAAATCAGATGTTATAATAATACAGTTCGATGACAAATAATTTCAGAATAAAATTGTTTGATTTTTTCTCTTTATAAAAAGGTTATAATAAACTCATGCATATGAAGACTAAGAGAAGGAGGTAAAGATGAATCACCTTGATATGCTAATAGAAATTATCTATATTTACTAACACAATAGATAACCTATGATTGGTTGTTGATTATTGTATTTTTGTGATTCCCTAGAGTAGAGATTCGACTTGGGATGATAAAACTGAAGGTTTTGAAATCCACTCTACCAATTACTACGTTCCTAACTGTCAGAAAGTTAACATAACTCGATAAGCAGGCAGTGACATAGCCTCCATAGAATAGTATAGCTTAAAGTCTGCTAGATTGACATGTACTTACTTTTTATTATTTATTTATTTATTTTAACACATAGATATTGGTACAAGGAGGCACCAAATACATATGCGCCACACAAATCTCATTTGATGTGTGAGGGCTGTGATACTGCCCGGGTGCCCAAATCGAAGCAGGTATTTTTTACTAAGTTTTAGTCATAGTCATAGTAAATAAGCAGTAAACTTGAGTAGTATGGTTAATTTTCTAATTTGCAAACTAGTTTATAATTATATTTGTGACCATTAATATATAGCATGAAGCAAATGTGCGTTATAATAGTTGTAATAACGACGGATTTAATCAACATTGTCAATTTTGCTACAGTAAAGAATTAATAACATCAATTGTGAAGGATTGCGACAGATTTCAGTTTGACATAGATTCAAATTACAATGAATTAAAAAAATATTTTACAAACATTTTTGACGGTTAGAATCTGCTACTCAACTATTCACTCCAATCTAAAGCAAGATAGTTGGAAAACACGCAGCTGAAACGGTTTATCAGACCCTCAACTATGAAGTAGTTTAATTTGTGGTGTCACATCAGTATAGCAAGATCAACGTAACCAGCTTAATAAAAAAATGAAATAATAGTAGTTTCAATAGTGAAAAAGACTAATGGATAGAAAATACGGTCAAGAAATAGTGGATGAATTCGAGAAACAATACTTTGATGAACAATAATATCGAAATATATTTCCAAAAATAATACTCAACTGATTATCCGGATCAGCCCATGGCTTTTTTGATATTCCTGGGGCTGTGTACGCTACCGGATGATATTCAGGCCAAGATAGATTCCAACTGACTTTATCATCAGGAACAGGATACCTTTGTATGTCTGAAGTGCGAGGGTATGGAGAATTTCTACATTTTACATGCAGATTGGCCACAGTTACAGATGCCATTTTTGAAATGTCGACAATCTGAAAAACAAGTCTATGTAAGAAAAACACTGATAGTTTGAAGAACCAACCACTTCCCAGTTGCAATAATATTGTGTATAAAGCAGAAAAACTAAATTCGTTAATAGCAACAAACAATATATCATAATTTAAAAAATCAGTCTGCACCTATAAATGACAAGAAAACGTGAAATCTGAATATAATGTGAAATTAGCTTATTAGGAACTTCGAAACAACCACATTAATGAAACTTCTGATTGTAAATAGCTTGCTTACAGTAGTTAAGGTACCAACTCGATGGAAAATTTAAATGGAAATTTCTTTTATAGTTATAATGTTTAGGACAACTTGTAGATCTAATCTTGTGTGTGGAATTGGGTACTGAAGTTAGAATAATAACAAGTGTTCATTTAATCAACTAGTTTAGCTCTAGTCGGTCATCATAAGATTTGGCACAACTATGAATTGATTCCAAGTTCCTATATCTTATACTAGCACACATAGAGGAAATCAACAGAACGATAACTAATACACAGGAATCAGTGTGAAATGAGATGGAAAAATAGTTTAAAAGGAACAAATGACATGAAATAAGTTATGAGTGATACCGTTAAGTCGTTCATTATCCGATCCTTAATGCTTAGTGTTTTTCGGACACGCATCCAACTAGTCTCCAGAAGCAGAACAGGGCTTAGACAAGTTCATAATTACATTCAAAATAAACTACATTAAATGGGATCATAATTTGAATCAATTGATTGTTTTTCAAAGCGACAAAAGTAGTTTCCATAGACATAAACAGTTCATCATTTGTGGGGAGCTAGCCTCTAGGCTAGCTACCACTCCACCGAAAAGTATAGATGAGCATTGGTTGCAATTGTATGACGCCATGAAAATGGCGGGAACAGTCAGTTGTGGGTTTGCGAAACGTCCCGCTTTTAAGCACTGGGTTTCTTCTGGTTCCTTACAACTCATTGAAGCCCGTCGGTCTACTCCGGGTAACCGTGAGTTTGACCATAAACGAAGGTTTTTACGTAAGGAAATCGGGCAAAGCTTGCGTAAGGACCGAGAAGCCTGGTGGTCGATGCGTGCTAATGAGCTGGAAGCAGCAGCTGCATCTGGTAACTACCGGAAGCTCTTCCAACTCATCCGAGCCACTGGCAGCAAGAAGTCTGGTGTGAGTGAAACAATCTGCGAGGATGATGGGATGCCAATCACTAACATCCATCGACGTCTTGGACGATGGGCAGAATTTTTCGAAGGGCAGTTCAACTGGCCTGCTGCTCCGGCAACATCGGTCAGACTGTCCTGCCCTCCATGGCCGGTGACGACTGATCCACCAAATGAGGAGGAAGTCCGCAAGGAACTCCAACTCTTGAAGCGTTACAAATCACCTGGCCCAGATGACTTACCTCCGGCTCTTTTTAAAGATGGTGGTGACTTTTTGACTAAGGAATTGACGACGTTGTTTACAAAGGTTTGGGAACTAGAGAGTGTACCAACGTCATGGAATGAGTCGATAGTTGTCCCTATCTTTAAAAAGGGTTCACGTCGTTCTTGTAACAACTATCGGGGGATAAGTTTACTTCCGATTGCGTCCAAGCTATTGGCTTCCGTCATTCTTCGTAGGTTGTTCAAAACCCGAGAAAGATTGACTCGCGAGGAGCAGGCTGGGTTTCGTTCTGGTCGAGGATGTATTGATCATATCTTCACAATCCGCCAAATGTTAGAACACCGCCATACTTTTCAAAGGCCAACAATCGTAGTGTTTCTTGACATCAGGGCTGCCTTCGATTCGTTGGATAGGACTGTTCTCTGGGATTGTCTATTGAAGAAGGGTGTGCCTGAGAAGTTTATTAACATCCTAAAAGCCCTGTATAAAAACACCTCAGGCAGAGTGAGGGCATACAACCACCTCTCTCCATTGTTCCATTCGAGCAGTGGGGTTAGGCAGGGTTGCCCAATCTCACCATTCCTCTTCAACTTTGCCATCGATGACATTCTGGAAACAGCTCTGATGAATGTAAGTAATGGTGGTGTGGATCTGTTGCCTGGAGAAAGACTTCTCGACCTTGAGTATGCGGACGATATTGTCTTACTGTGCGATAATGCCCAAGGCATGCAATCCGCACTTAATCAGTTGGCAATCAATGTCCGTAGGTATGGTATGTGCTTTGCACCTTCGAAGTGCAAAGTACTTCTACAAGACTGGCAGGATTCTAATCCTGTACTCACCCTGGATGGTGAGCAGATAGACGTAGTTGAGAAGTTCGTGTATCTGGGTAGCTGCATAAGTGCTGGTGGGGGTGTGAGTGATGAGATCAATGCACGAATAGTGAAAGCCAGAGCGGCTTATGCCAATCTGGGCCACCTTTGGCGCCTTCGTGATGTTAGTCTGGCTGTAAAAGGCCGGATCTACAACGCGTCGGTGAGAGCAGTTTTGCTCTATGCTTGTGAAACCTGGCCTTTTCGAGTTGAGGACGTTAGACGACTCTCTGTGTTCGATCATCGCTGTCTCCGAAGGATTGCTGACATTCAGTGGCAACACCATGTCAGTAATGCAGAGGTTCGGCATCGTGTGTTCGGGCACAGAGATGATAACTCAATTGGTGTCACCATCTTGAAACACCGACTTCGGTGGCTTGGACATGTTCTCCGAATGTCGTCCCAGAGAATTCCACGTCGTGCATTATTTGCCGACTCTGGGACTGGTCGGAAGAAGCGGAGAGGTGGTCAGTGCATGACATGGTGTCGTGGCATGAAAGAAAGCTGCAAAGGACTGGCTTGTGTTGGTCCTTCACGACTCCCTGGTTGGGGTCCGAGAGATGGTGCAACACAGTGGCTAGAGACGTTATCAGATATGGCTCAGAATAGAAGCCAGTGGCGATCCTGCTGTAACCTTCTTTTACTTTCTTCATAAAAAGTGGTTGTGTCTCCTTTACCTGAAAGATTTCTTCTGATTGTACCTCTTCGTCATTACTCTCTTTTTCTTTTGCGTTCCTTAGTTTTTTTTTCTTTCTACTTCTCTTCGAATTCCCATTGTTTTGTGTGGCGCATATATATTGGCGCTCTCTTGTACCAATATTTATGTGTTCAAATAAATAAATAAATAAATAACATTAAATGGGAATGAATTACAGTAAAAAAAACCTTAGTATATTTATAATTTTACACGAGAATACCCTCATCTCCAATTAACCACTAGCGCAAGCCGACTAGGAATGGGACGATCAACGTGCTCAAAGGCATTCATGCATGGGATATGCTTTAATTTAATCTATATCTCGCTAACAGATAATTAACTCAATACTTAAAGGAAGACTACTGCGACTGACTCAGTACTATGTAACTCAACGCCCTCAATTATTCCTTATGAGTCCTGTCAATCATGTAAAACGTCTGCACCCACGAGATAGCTTAGAACATCAGTCAATAATTTCATGAACTGATACTGTGATTGATGTTCAACTGCTGCTAGGACTTTTCCGATTTGTATTTCTTGCGACAAGATAGAGAGCGACTTTGATGATCTGTGCTGTACATAGATAATCTAGTAAAAATTTGGGTCTAAGCCGAAAGGTGGATTTTGTTAGTTTTAAAAGAAACACAGAACCCAATTCGCGAGTGTATTTTTTAAAATAATTTCCGCTTCCTATGACATAACAAGTGGGCATCAATTTATCATAAGGTTAGTCTGATGAGAAGTATAGTAGGTGCTGATCAGCTCAACTCGATATGAAGCAGCAGTTAAAAAATTGAAAAATTCGACCAGTTTACTAGAATAGTCTGCGGATTTGAAATAAAAAAATGTGGGTTTAAGAACTAAAGCTTGGATATTATAACTGCATGTTTCTAACTATTGTTGTGCTATTTCAATACTTACAGATTAGTCACAGTAACATTATATCCAACTAATTCTATAACAGTGAAACTTTAGTCAGTTGATATATGTGACAATTTATTATATTGAAAATATTAGTATACTTTACATAGAAACATGTTTTGTATATACAGTGTCACTTTGTGGAGGCCATGATCTATATTCGAGTTGTGTTTGTAAAGTTACATTAATGCGCTATACACTGACTGCACATCTGTGCACTTACCGAACTAGGCAATTTTGTGTGCATTTCAAAGTTCGCACTAAAATTCAATGTACAAAAACAATGAGAAGTGCAAATGACAATCTACAAGCTATTTAAATTATGGATAGTATTCGAGAATAAAGTGAGAAACCAGTTGATATGTATTGGAAATGCTCTTTACTTTTTCTATGAAGATTCCAGTTCATTTTAAGATCGTTGATTTAGTAGATTATACGTGGATATAAGTACGTTCCGATTGTGGTATACGATAAACTCTTGAACCCACTAGCTTTCATATCCGCATTACCATGAATGCTCAGATTCTTTTCATGCTGTTGTCAAGTTTTTGATTCAGGAAGAAACTTTCTTATGTTCATACAATTTTTAAGTGGCTACTATGACTAAGCACACTTGTTCCAAAATCGACTTATTGTGTACTTTATTAAACAATGGTTTTAGTATGCTGGTTAAGTCGCAAAGCCAAATCACCGACCTAAACTAATTATTTTTGCAATCCTCGCTTCCACAGCAGTTCCTGGTCTCAATTAATGGAGAATTATGACCATGGAAAATGGATGCCTCTAGGTATATAATCAAATTCGATAAAAATAAACTAGAAGTTAGTTGGTAAGTGTAGGTGATAGTACGCTCAATTTTGTCTTCGCTGGCTCCTTAGACGTGGGTTTTTTATTTTTACACATACCACTTATTCACATACATGTTTTAGAACCAGTTTAAGTTTTTATCACAATGACAATTACACAAATTAGTTTCGGCAACTTCTCCATAATATTCTGAACAGTGTTCTTTATCAGATTCTAATTAATTTAGAGGAATGGTAATATGGGGACTAGAGGTCTGGTTAAACATGGTATATTGTGGCGAGTTAAACTATGTTCTTCTAGTCTCGATTACAAGGCATTCATAATCCAAGACTTGTGTTATTTCTGGATTCCGTTTATTGATTTTCTTGATGAATGTAAGTGCACCGTGTGCGTTTGCTGAGTCGTTGACCAATATTTTCTTTTGTTCTTCTACTTTCCAGCCCTCCTCACTCACACTACTCCTCATGCTCCCCTGGTACACAAAGTAAATTCTGGCTGGACGCGTACCGCTACACAGGCAATCCCTTAGACACCTGGAAGGAATGTTCTACCAACGCTTTTAGCCTATAGGAAAGGTACGCATACGCTGAAACGATTATTTGTAGTTACAAAATATGGTGCTGAGAACAGTATTCTGATACACAAATGGCTGTCTCCCTTTTTTATCGAATATATTTGAGCCTTTATTTTGTAGACTTTATGGAGTCTTCAGTAGGCTTCGTTCCCAGCGAATTGTCTAGTTTGCTTGTGACAGAATTGCCCGGTAAGATATGAAACCGATTCAGCGTTCAAGACACGGTTTAAAGAGGTACCTTGCATAATAAATCAGCATCAACACCATTTGTTTGTGACATTCCACTAGACCATAAGGAGCCGTAATTAAACAAAATGTTTTGCCTACAGGCATGGGTGGTATGAAGTTATCTCCCCACCATCATGATCGCCGGTTATTAACGCCACCCTCCATTCTTTTGTGATGTTAGGCTCTCTTATGTCTGTGGTAAGTATGAATATTGCTTAAATTAAAACCCACTGTGACGACCGAACTGCCAGTATTCTGTCTGAACGCAGGACTGACGAACGAAAACGTATTCGAATAGGCCAGACTACGTTCTTCTGTATGGCTTACAAAGCGCTTTTGAGACACTCGTAATAAGTTATATTAAAACACAAACTCCGTTCTCAATTTAAACTGTTCTAATTTAGGAAATAGAACAAATTATATGTGAAATACAAAATACCTCAAACGGTACAGCCTGTGCTATACAGTCAGAAGTTTCTCTGACGCAAAGTAGCGCGCTAAGTAATAAAAGAAACAGTTAATACTAAAGAGTGCGATACCTGAAAATCAATAAAATATTCCCAACAAGGTGGGATCAAATATCTATCTTCAGGGATTCCAGCAATCTTCCCAAACAGACAGTCAAAAGATTAACAGTCACACACTGAATCACGCCGTGAACATGAGCTTAGTTAAACACAACCTTACTGTCAATAGTCCGGCAACATGCAGTAGAAAATTAAATAACAATAGATAAGTCTTTAATCGAAATAAAATAATGAAGGCTCAGACGAGGAAGACTGAAGAACAAAATGTGTGGTTAAACGACATCTGAACAAAGGTTAAAATACACGACAGGGAGAAGAAAATAATAAATGACAGTACTGTCCAACAAAAAGGCTGCGGAGGGATTTTCGTCGTTCTTTTGCCGTTACAGCCATAGTTGGAATACACTGTCTCTACTAGTCCCATGTTACAGTCAAAGCAAATGGCTGAAGCATTTGTATTATGGGTTAGACATCCATTCGGTATATCACACCGCTATGAAGATAACTAATGGTAAAAGTAAAAAACAGGTCAGATTAAATGTGGTTTAAAGATGGTAAGGACTAACAGCAAAATCAAAGGATATGAAATAGTATAAGATTGTAAAATTCTCAGGGTAAGAAAAATAAAACATTGAGCACCTCACAAGACTATATGACATTTTATATGATCGTATGATCGGCATTAGTAGATTAGCATCCATAAGATTAGTGAGTTATCTGTCTACTTGCAATAGAAAAAAAGGATATGACACTTAGGAATAATAATGTACCTTTAACCATTAGAGAGTTTCGGGAACTGAAAGTGAGAGTTAGGAGTATAAGGTCATGATTTATAACCAATGAATAATAGGGAGAGTAAACTGTGTGTTCTGTAATTTAGTTATATTCATATTAATAACAAAGGGGTCCGTTATATTCTTGTTCCATTTAGATATTAGGCGGTCCATAACAAAGTACCTCACCGGAGGGCGGGAGTTCAAGGAATAGTTGAAGCTCTTTAGAGTCTAGTAACAGGGTTATTAGCCTTTTGAATTTGGTAAAACTGTCACAATTACGGATAGGTATTGGCAACCTGTTCCACAATAAACTATACCTCACTGTAAAAGACTTACAACGCATTTGCCTTTGATGTTTTACGGCAATTAGTGTATATGAGTTGTTTCTTGGCCTGTAGGCTGGGTCACGGATCATAGTTGGGCAGGAGGTTAGAAATACGAGTACACATATCGCTTTATAGAGAAATATTAGATTGTTCTTTAGCCTACGGTGCCATAGAGGCTCTAAAGAGTGGTGCTTACATCTATCTGTGTAATCGGGGATGGAGTCACTACCTAACAGTCGGCGTGTGAAGCGTCCCTAAACATCTCCTACTCTAATCTTGTCTGTGGTATTCATATTAAAGAAGACAAAAGAGCGATATTTAAGGGAAGGTCGTACACGTATTTTGTAAAGAGTAAGTTTGGCCTCTGTTGTTAAGAAATCTTTCCTTATTAAGCCAATTAGCCGTCTAGATTCAGAAATAATAGATGAGGCATGTTCTTCAAAGTTTAGGCTTCTTGTGCATTTAATTCCTAGATCGTGTACTGATTTGAGTGTTTGGACCCTACTTTTATTTAAGTGGAGTTGCAGATTATAGGGATGTTTACCAAAGTGCAAGATCCCGCACTTGTTTGGGTTAAATGGTGATTGCCATTTTTCACTCCATATGGTTAAGTTATTGAGGTCATTTTGAACCAGGGACACACTTTCACTTAGTCTCAGGCTTATAACTGTATGCTATTTTGAGATCATCAGTATATAAGTATGGTTTCCGAAATTTTATGATGTTACATATATAGTTTATATACATAAGAAACATAAGCGGACCTAATACGCTTCCCTGGATGACTCCACTAGTTATTGGTCTAGGAGATGAGAGACAGTCGTTGTAGTTTACCATCTGTTTACGTCCTGTTAATAACGAATAAAACCACGAATATAGCATTCCGAAGGACTTTAGTTTGACAAAAAGAATTTCGTGTGGAACCTTATCAAAGGCTTTCTTAAAGTCTAAGAATAGGACTGATACAAAGAGTCCGTTGTTTCGTTTCAGAGTTATATCATTCAGGTAGTCTACTAGGCATGTATTGCATGATCTGGACCTAAGAAATCCATGCTGCGAGGTCGAGATGAGATTATTACCAAGTAGATGTTGGACTACCACCGCCTTGACTACTTTTTCCATCACTCTAGATACCACTGAAGTTATGTTTTCGGGCCGGTAATTTTCAACATTTGCTTCAGGTCCTGTTTTAATTTTAGGAAGGATGTGTGTAGTTTTCCAGGCAGTAGGGTAACACGCTGCAGAAAGTGATGTCGCAAATAGTTTGAGAAGCATAGCACATATCATCACCTCCACTTTTTAGCATGCTAGCCGGAATACCACAGGGAGGTAACGACATTGGTTCTAAATCATTTAGTGGTTTTTCGTTAGTTAATGAGGAACAAAAGTGCTCACTAAATAGTTCCGTAAAAAGTTTAGGATCTTCGTATAATTGTTTGCCTTTAATAAATATGTTCTTTCTCGATTCAGAACGTTTAAGTTTATTATAATCCGACGCACTCAGCAAAGTCTGTGCACCACGACACGGACATGCACAAATCTTATTATCTTATTGTTAATTTGTCCTCGTTTCAATTATCCTCATTGACACATTTGTCGGATTGTTCCATTACGATTCAAATTATCATTATATGCATATTATTAAATTGTTGCCAATATCACGACCGAATGTGGAATTATTATTCATGTTCGTGCTGTCATTAAATTGTGACATTTTCGCAATCATGTTGCTCACCGAACAGATTATCATTTTATGAACACTCCACTTTATGACATTCAGAACTCATCGCGATATTTTTGCTGTTCAAAAACGTGAAATTTTCCTGCTTTACGTGAGTTCGTTCCAATTTTTGATGTCATTTTGATCTAATATTACATTCATTCACTTAGTCGAGATCAGTAATTCATGTTATCACAACATACATTTTTCATTTCGAAATCGCCTCCTATTATGTCTGTGGATGCCTCTAAGTAGCTG